AGTCGGACGCTCAACCGACTGCGCCACCCAGGCGCCCCAAACCACAATAGATTTTCTAGATTTCCACTTTGAAAAAAATGAAAAGGGCAATAAAATATAATCATTAACTCGGAAGTCAGAAAAATATACATGCATCCTGTAAATGTTGTAAGAAAAATCAGTGAATCCCACTATGAGTAACAGATAGCTGTGCTATCCGTTGGAAAAACAAAGTCTTCCTCCAGGGACCAATGTATTTGAATCTATGAGCTTCAAAGAGAAAAAACTAAGTATCACACTTAGTTCATCTTTCAAACCTGCGCCCCCCCCTCCCCCAACTCCATTATCTCAGGGATTCTCCTCTCTCCTCTGGAAGTCAGGGTTGCTGACAGGGGACTTCTGCCAACGCTCAGGAGCCGTCCTGCACAGGGCAGCAGCGGACAGCTGCATCACACCCGGAGGCTGACAAAGGAACAGCCGTGACCCCAGGTCAAGGCCTTGGGGCAAGGGCAGCAAGGGCAGCCCAGAGAGGAGCTCACTCGGGACAGGCCTGGGGTGACCACCAAGAGCTATTTAAGGAAACTTTCCCTCACTCAGATCAAATGCAAGTCTTGTGTTGTCCAAAGCCCTTATTTATAATTTTTAGAAATGGACTTTGTGACTTGACTCCTGCAGGCTGAATGGTCAGCAGAATTCAGGAGCCCCAGTGCCTCTATGAGATTCTCCTGAGCCAAACATCTACCTTTCCAGAGCCTCAGCTCCCATCTACAGAATGGGAGTCATAACCTCTAAACCTCTATTTGTATCATGAAGCTGTTAAAAATAAAAAGAAAAGACATCAGAGCATCTAAGTAACTTATGTAAAAAGGAAAATGTAATAAAGAACAGCCGAACCTAGAATAAGGGCAGTGAGCAGGAAGAATTAGTATCAAATGAAGATAATTCACCTCTTAAATATGTTGTGTATATAAAAATGCAAACCGCTCCCAAAATTAACAAATGGTAGATAAATGTTTTTAAAGGCAAGTATAGGGGCGCCTGGGTGGCTCAGTCGGTTGAGCGTCTGACTTCGGCTCAGGTCGTGATCTCACTGTCTGTGAGTTCGAGCCCCGTGTCGGGCTCTGTGCTGACAGCTCAGAGCCTGGAGCCTGCTTCGGATTCTGTGTCTCCCTCTCTCTCTGACCCTCCCCCATTCATGCTCTGTCTCTGTCTCAAAAATAAATAAACATTAAAAAAAAAAATTTTAGGGGCGCCTGGGTGGCGCAGTCGGTTAAGCGTCCGACTTCAGCCAGGTCACGATCTCGCGGTCCGTGAGTTCGAGCCCCGCGTCAGGCTCTGGGC